TGGGCAGAACAATTGAATGGGGGGGGAGGAAGGTATGGAGGGCAACCATGGATGCCAGGGACAATGGGGGAGGAAGTTGGGACATAGCTGAGGGTGGGGGATGGGGAATCAGGGATGGCAAGACAAAGGGCAAGGTATGCAGGACGTAAGAATTGGAAAATTATTTGCTGAGAACATATATGTGGATGTGCTTGATTGAGCCAATGCACAGTGTATTTTGGATGGAAAATTCATTTGTGTGTTGTGATGGTGTAAAGTGAATTAATAAAATAAAAAAGAAATAAAATAAGGGAGACCAGCAAAAAAAAACAAAAAACAAAAAAACAAAAACAAAACAAAACAAAAAAAACACTATGTACATTATTTTAGAGACTAGCTCTTATGATTCAAACTTACTATGACTGTTTTCCTTCTACTCAGGCCTGGGACACTCTAAGCTTCTACGTTGGCTGGTTAATGAAAAGCCACTGAGTGGGGAACCAGCAGTTGGCGTAATGGCTATGTTGCTGAACTTCCATGTAGTCAACCACGGTTCGCATCCCGGACCCGGTGGCTTAAAACTCACGCCGGGCGCATGTGCGTGTGTGCCCAAGATCCCGAGAGGAGAATGGAGGAGAAGGGATTGCGGCGTGACCATCCCCCCTGGGGGGTGATTTCTCGCTTTCTGTCTCTATGTCTCTCTCTGTCTGTCTGGCGAGCGCACGCGCCCTATAGTGAAAACCTCTCAAAAAAAAAAAATAAATAAAAAGCCACTGAGTGATGGAGGTCAGAGAGTTAAATGTGAGCTGAGAAAGTTCTGGTGTTAGTCCTGTATCTATCACCAGAGCCATATTAACCTACTCTTCTGGGCTCAGGGTCCTCATCTGAAAAATGTATAAAAGAATTATTTGATATTGCATTCACTTCAGTGGGACATTCTGCAAATTAGGGGAGATGATACATATGGATATTTAATCTTAAATTTAAACCAGGTGTGACTTTGTTCACACTATGATTATGAGGATTGACTCTTACCTGAAGCACAGGCCATGGAGTTGAAAGTCTTCTCTTGCTCAATACCTTCAGGCTTAAGAGAAAGAAACGCAGAAAGGTGTAAACATCTAGATCATGGCAGGACAACCATAGATTCCTTGCTTTGAAGGGTAGGGTTTACATGAAATGATGTGTAACATCCTACTAATTTAATTATTCTAAATCCATAAAACATCAATGAACCAAGGTGGTTGGTAGACGACAAAATGACAAGAGGCAATAAAAACCATGAATCAAAGGTAATAGATTTGAGAGATATGGAAAACTGGGGAGAGAAGTGGAGATTTAAAAAAAGGGAATATCTCTCATATAATTTATGAAAAAAGCTATTTGCATTATCTGGCAATGTTTCCTGCAATACTTTTAGGGTAGAAAATCCCATTAGTTTTATAGGATGGATTATGTGAGCATGGTTTTGTCCCTTGCTGATGAAACAATGGTCACACTGGTTTTATTCTTAATGTTGTTAGGGACTGGGACCACCAAGTGGTATGGTAGTTAAGGTGCTGGACTCTCACATGGCTGACTATAGTTTGACTTGCTTTCTCGCTTTCCCTCTCTTTGTCTCTCTCTGGTGAGTGTATGGGCCATATAGAAAACAAAACAAAACAAAACAAACAAAAAATAACCAAGTAAATAAAAAAAATAAATAATTCTTGAAAAAATAAAGTTTTGGGGACCTAAACAAATACATTAAGCAGGCTGGACTGACTCACCTCAACCAACAGGGTTTTGATGACTGTGTCTTTCCTTCCAATCTCAGAGACCTCAGCAACCTCATTATCACATAGTTCTAGAGACTGAATTGCTTCTGTGCTTACTGAGAGGTTCACATTTCCTAAAAACAAAGAATGTTTTAAATATCTCATCTTGAGAGTTGTCCAGTCATTTTTAAGGGCTGTACCTAACTTTACAATTACCCAGAATGTGAAATAAAGCTAAGAGAAACAAAACAAACAAACAGAAAAACTCAAGGCTCATGTGTACTGAGTAACGGATACCCAAGAGCAGTGATCATGAAGACCAGGTCCAGAGAGAATAGTAGGAGGCAGTTATCGTGACTAGAAATAAACACAAGAAATTATATAATTATATCTATGAGAAGCAAAACAGAATGAAAGGAATGAAAGGAATGCTCAGGTATTCACTGTCCTTGCTGGTTGGTGAGCCTTTTTCAGCACTGTCACTCACCCAGAGTTTTAGGAGTCACTGTCCAAGACACGGTTTGCCGCTCATTTCCACAGATGCAGTAGGATTCCTCTCCCTTTTGGTTTTGGGAAGCTTGGAAGGCTGGAGAGTCTTTCAGCTCCACATGGACCTATTACCCACAAGGGAGACAAAGAGACAAATATGATCAGACAATGGTAAGATTATGGATATATGGAGCTGAGCTAAGTGTAAGACCTTGCAGTAAACTAAGATGAAAAAAAAGAGAGACACATAACCTCAACCATGCTTTAAGAAGCATAAAAATGGCAAGGACACAAATCAAAATTGACTGTGCGCAGGCTCTGGCATTTACATTAAGGCAGACTGAAGAAACCTGTGATGAGGAGCCGTGCAGGAGAGGGAGGAGCAACAATTGGATGTTGCTTTTGCAATTGCTACCTACTGGTTTATGCCTGCTCTTTAGATTTTCTTACTGACTCCTCTTTACTCCTCCCGTTCTTTTCTATCTCCAAGATACATTGCATCTCCACCCTCTCCAAGGAATAGGATGTTGTCTAAGAGGATCCTGATCTCGATATTGTGTTACATATGATATAATCTATACCCCAAACCATTACATGATTTACAAAGAGATAAATGCTGTAAACTATGTGTTGTGGAGATTTTGAGATGAGGACCTGGAGAATGACACTCATGGAATTAAGAAAATTGATTTTTGTGTCAGCATCAAGAATCTTCCTAGTGGGACCAGCAGATGGTGTAATGGTTACATCGCTGGATTCCCAGAGTTGAGTGTGGTTCAAGTCCCAGACCAAGCAACTTTAAACTCATGCCGGGTGCATGTGCATGTGTGCCCAAGATCCCCAGGGGAGAATGGGAGAGAAAGGATTGCGGTGTGGTTATCCCCAGTGGGGGTGATTTTTTGCTTTTTGCCTCTCTGTCTCTCTGGCAAGCGCATTTGCCCTGTTGCAAAAAAATCTCTCTTGAAAAACAAAAAACAAAAAACAAAAAGAATCTTCCTAGCATGAAGACTAACTGTGGCAAAGAGCTTCTGTAAGCTCTAGAAGATTGAAAACAAAAACGAACAAAAAGACACTATAGTTAGAGAAGCATAATTTTAGCAGCAGTAGCACATATATCATTGTATTGTCTTTCTGATCATGTCCTGCCTTGCTTAGTACTGTTTATGTGTAGTGCGAACATATAAGTCCTTTATTTATTCTTAGTCTCGGGGACAGGATCAGTAGCTAACTCACCAAAGGACTCTTTTGTTTTATCTCACCTTCTAATTCACTCTCTTTTTCTTACCCGGATGCATTTGGGAAGATAGTTTAACACAGTGGCCTTGAGTGTGAAGGCCTCCCCGCGGATCACAGAGTAGGGCATGGTGAGCTCCACAAAGAAGGGCTGGAAGGCTCGGAGAGAGGCAACGGGAGAGAGCCCAAGTCCAGTGTCTTCGGACAGGCAGAAGGCCCCTGCCTTCCACTCGGTGATGGTGTCAGGGACTGTTACTCCTACCTCAGCCACACCTGTGGAGCTGGGGATGACGGCAACACGAAGAACAGAACGGAAGCGGGTGAAACATCTTTTTTTCAAGTGAGAATCAATATGTGTAAAGTTAATGTCAAGAACTGAATCCAGTTAAGGGTGTGTGTCCACACGCATGTGCACCAGATTAGGTATGAGGGACCAAGTTGAGAAATGAAAGGCTCTAAAAGGTACCTCTTTCCCATATCAATCTAGCATCACATATGTCTTACCTTAAAAAAAAAAAAAATATATATATATAAGCATATTTAAAAATCATGATCCAGCAAATAGACCATTGTATTAGTAAAGTCTGATTTGTTCATGTACTTTTTCCAATCTCGATACTTTTGGAAGATTCCCTTATGGTATTAGGCCACATAGCGTTTGGATATTTTTAGATTCCATGTCTGTTTTTTGGAAGCCTCAGGAAAAAATTATTTTAGAATTACTCAGTTCTGAGACAACTATACTAAGGAATCTATGCAGTTAAAGCATTTCACTTAGGTCTATCCTGAAATAAAGTTCAGGGTAATTATTTAGACCTCTTTAGAAAAATCAATTTAGAACTGCAAATGCTGGAGGATTCACATTCTCTGCCCCACAGGGAATGGAGAGAAATGAAAGTACTTACTCCACCACCACCAGCTCCCAGATCCAGGTCTCAGGGAAGTAGGCCCGCACAGTTTTAGGGACTGGCTCCAGACTTTGTACGTTGTTAGAAATTGTCATATCATGTTGAGGTACATACAGAGCTGCTCCTGGAACGCCTCCAAAAAAGAAAACAATAGTCAAATTAAAGAAAAAAAATATTTCATGGTACATATAGGAGACTAGGGAGACCAAATCTTCAGTTCTCCCATTCAGCTTGTCTCCTAGTAAGTGAAGGGTTTTGGAAAACTAGATTTGCTGATCCCTCAATTCTTTGAGTAGAGAAGAATCTTTGTCCAAGGTGGAAATTCCATGTTCCCTAGATATGACATAATTTTATAGTATGGAAGTTGGGAGATGGTTTATGGATTATGGGGAAAGGGCCAGCTTTTGAGGTGAGATAGTATTGTTTCCTCTTTCCAAGGATGAAACAGCTGAAGCCAGCAGGTGATGTGGTGGTTAAGGTGTTGTACTCCTACATGGTCAACCACAGTTTGAGTCCTGGACCTGGTGGCTTGCTTTCTCACTATCTCTCTCTCTCTCTCTGGTCAAATTAATAATAATAATAAATAAAATTAACTAAGTAACTCTAAAAGAGGAAAGATGAAGAAGCAATTATAAAATGTTTTCTAGTCTACCTAAGGGTTGGCTAAACTGAAAATTGTTTGAATCACAATCAGGGTGAATAGAGTTTAATGATACAATTTTTTTTGTACCGTCTCAAAGCATGCAAATTCATTGTTCTCTGGAAAGTGATTACTATATCAGATTTTGTTCAGTTTATTTTATAAAAAGGGGAAATGAAGAATCCAAGATGCCAAAGAGGGAAATTTCATCTGATATAGTCCAATGGTTGAGACGAAGGTCCCATTTTCAAAAATGAGAGGGCAGAGAGCTAGATATGAAGTCTATCTGGTCCATGCTGAGCATGAAATCACACTTATAAACTGAGTTTGAGTTAGGATCCACAACTGCTATCCCATCTGATATTTCAGAAATTCCTTGTGAAATAATACAAGTGTAGGAGTGTGGCTAACTAATCATATTTCTTTTCCTTCCATTTTTTTTTTTGAGAGATATTTTTGGCATAGGGCTTGTGTGCTTGCAAGGGAGATAGAGAAAGACAGACAGAAAGCGAGAAATCATCCCCCGGCGGATGGCCACACCACAATCCCTTCTCCATTCTCCTCTTGGGATTTTGGGCACACATGCACATGCTCCTGGTGTGAGTTTTAAGCCACTGGTCCCGCGATTCGAACTGCAGTTGACTATGTGGGAGTCCAGCAACATAACCATTAGGCCATGTGCTGGTCCCTGACTAGCCCTATTTCTTAAAGGCTAGACATCTCATTTGCCCTCTTTTTCTCTCATCATGCAATGTAACAGTATATTTTTGCTCCCAGACCCTGCTGACCATTAAGAATGACTGATTTTGGGAGTTTAGAACAAACACTCTTTTTTCTTTCAACACAGGCATAGTCTCTTAGAATTTCTATCTCTCTCTCTTTTTTAAACTGCCACAGGTGGGGGTGCTCTCACCAGAGAGAGAGGGAGAAAAAGAGACAAGGAGAGGGAGAAAGAACTCAGTGATAGATGGCCACAGCAGTCTCCCCCTCCTTCATCTCTCCATTCCCTTAGGACTTTGGGCATGGCTGACACAAGTACCATGCATGCTTTTTAAGCCGGTAGGGGTGGGATTCAAACTACATTTGGCCATGCAGGATCCAGCTCCTTAATTATTAGGCCACTAACCAGTTCAGTTATTATTTTAAAAAAATATTTAAGCAGTCAAAAATATTAATGGTTTTGGTACATTATGTTTAGTTATGTTATTGGGTGTTTTGCAAGGCATGAAAGAGCCTTTAGTCAAATTCCTTCAGTTTATTAATGAAAGATTTCAGGATTAGAGAAGAGGCATTACATACACATTCATTTTTTTTTTTTTGAGAGATTTTTGCTATAGGGTACATGTGCTCATCTGAGGGACAGAGAGAGACAGAAAAACAGAAGGCAAGAAATCACTTCCCAGGGGGTTGACTACACCACAGTCCCTTCTCCTCCATTGTCCTCCTGGGATTCTGGGCACGCATGCACATACACCCAGTGTGAGTTATCAGTTGCTGGGTTGGGGACTCAAACTACAGTTGATCATGTGGGAGTCCAGCACCTAAACCACTATGCCACCTGTTGGCCCTAACATACCCATTTCACACATAAGATCTCTGCTTCCTAATCTGAACTCAAAGCATATAAATATGTATTAGCAGATAGACATCAGGAATACTTTGGAGAAAAGGGTAGTCTGAATTATGGGAGAGAGGAATGACAGAGTTGGATGGTGGGCTTCAAATATAAGTAGATATTTTAATGGGAAGTTGAAGCGTCTAGAAATTATTTGAGTAGTTATTTTTTTTTCATTCCATGGCTTATCCTGTGGATTATGAGGTATTTCTATTTGCTTTTACAAGTATGCTCATTTGTCCTCCTTTCTATTTTCAAGATACAGTGTCTCTGTAAATTTCTTTCCAATTCCATATGCAAAATGAGTCTTTCCTGCCATTAGAAATTCTTTCCCCCTCTTACAGTGCACCAGAATCTTGCATTTCATCTGGTTCTGTGCCCAGAAGTACCTGATTCATCTAACAAAACCTCTGGTCAGTTCTATGTTATTTACCAGCTAAGTAACTTTTTAGTAAGAAACAACTAATTTGAGTCTTGATTTTTCTGTGTGTATAAAATGAAGATAATGTTATCTCTCTTAGTTTACCATTTTTTGGCAAAGTAATATTATTGATACAATAGAAAATTAAAAAGCAAGTTGTTATTTTACCTGCATAATATCTATGCCTTGCTGCTTCTGTGGCCGTAAGGATGTTTGAACATAACAGTTTTCGAATTTTTGAGTTTGTGAACACCTTCAATCCCATGCCCTGAAAAGAATGATCCATTATCTCGTATATTTGATTAGAAAATACACTGTTCTTAAAGACAGTAATTCCAATACCCTTATATTATAGTGGTTCCATGGTAATGCATATGCGTCAGGAAGTGTAGAGTAGCAATAGTACTATCCTTGATGGATTATTAAGATTTTATTCCTTGTTTTTTTTACTTGTACTTGCTCGGCTTGTAAAAATTCTAAATATAACTGAAACATCAGGACAAGTGGAAGTTATGTCTAGCCCTTCCTTGTTCTTACTTTCTAACAGAGATCTGGTGTGATCTTGACAGAGACCTTAACCTTTTTCTACATAAATTTTAAAAAATTACGTTTCAAGCATGGTCTCACTGTCATGATCTTCCTGCCCCAGCCTCCTTCCCAATGGGGTCTATCGGTGTGTGTCACCACACCCAGCTCCTTTTTAGACAGGATCTCGCTCTATTGCCTTGAGCCTGTGACTTTCCCACCTCTGCCTCTCTGAGCCTCTGGGGTTGCTTGTGCTGCCACCAGGAACTGACCAGGAACTGAATCCAGGCCTTCTATGTGGTCCCAGCCTGCAAGCACAGGGCTTACTTAGCTGTGTGTACATTGCCGTGGGACCAAATTTAGTTTTTATTGGCTTCATATTTTTTTTAGCTGAAAGGTGAAGAGGCAAATCTAAATAATGACTAAAGATATTTATAGATATAAAGTTTTGCTAACATTTGAAAAGCCACAACCAGCATGTTAATAAGTATTACTAGTTAAGACTTTTACCTTGAGGAAGCTATAAATATCTTCTTCATCAGAACTTGGTAAGGGAACATAGACTGCTCCGCCATGAACAATGTAAGGCTGGCTACATGTTGCTTGTTCTTCCTCCTGCTCCACCGAACTGTTGGGAAAATCAGTGAGATCCTTCACAGTCAGCAGATTATATACCTGTGGCAGTGGAGAGATCAAAAGCAGAACTCTTACCGGCTTTTGTTTAGAAATATTTGGTGAACTGAGGCAAATACGATAATTACCATCACTCTTGTATTACTTTATGTAGTTATTACCATAGGGAGAAGTTAAAGATTTTGTTTATTTTTTATTATTTAAATATATTTGTTGATTTATTTAATTCCATTTGTTATTATTATTTTTTATTTTGATCAGAGAGAGAGAGAGAGAGAGAGAGAGAGAGAAAGGGGAAGTGAGAAAACAAACTGCCAGGTCTGGGACTTGAACTGTAGTTGGCCATGTGGGAATTCAGTGCCTTTAACCACCATGCCATCTGCTGGCCCCAGATTTTATTTTAAACAGTGGTTTTTGTTCTAAAGATGTAAAACCTACCTGGGAAAACACTTTCAAGGATTAACAATATCTTAAATTATGAAGGATTCATTAAAACTTCATTGTAGAGTTTAGAAGTAAAACTGGACCACATATAGTAAGGAAATCTAACTTGCCAATGTGTTTGATGAATAATGAATGTCTCAAGGAATTTAAGTATGAATAATTATTGCCACATGTCAAACTTCAAAGCCTGTTGGGAACCAGCAGTTAGCATAACGGCTATGTCGCTGGACTCCCACGTATTGAACCGCGGTTTGTGTCCCGGACCCGGTGGCTTAAAACTCACGCCGGGCGTGGGCGCATGTGCATACGTGCCCAAAATCCCGAGAGGAGAATGGAGGAGAAGGGATTGCGGCATGACCATCTCCCCTGGGGGGTGATTTCTTGCTTTCTGTCTCTCTGTCTCTCTCTGTCTGTCTGGCGAGCGCACACGCCCTATACCGAAAACCTCTCCAAAAAAAAAAAAAAAAAAAAAAAACCCAAAAAAACCTTCAAAGCCTGTTTAGCTTTATTCTTGCATGACTAAACCTCATAGGCATATATGAGCATGTATCAATGATATTGGACAGACCAATGTCTATGTGATTGCAAACCCAGCATGGTACTAATGGAAAAGCAATGATGATTGAGACCTGGATAGTTATTCCTAGACTGGGGTAAGACCATGTCTTAATCAAAGAACTTCCAACATTTGGCTGACATGATCTCAGAATTGTGATGGACCAGTAACTCCCAAGGGCCTTGTCCCACTTTGGAACAGGAATGTCAATAGTGATTATTCCATGCCACTTGCAGCACTGTATTCTGTGTGAATGGGAGTAAATAACTTAGTAAATGACTTGAATTCACTGTAGTTCAAGGTCTTCAAAGTTGTAGAGCCTGTATCTCAGGAGCATAATCTACACCAGGACCTGATTTAAATGATGAGATTCAGTATATGAGATGTTGCTATTTTAGGATAAGAAATTTTTTGGGGGAAGAGATTTTTGTTATAGGGGATATTTGCTCACTGGAGAGACAAAGAGAGAAAGACAGTCACAAATCACCCCTCCGGGGGGATGGCCACACTGCAATCTCTTTTCCATTCTCCTCGTAGGATTTTGGGCATGCACGCACATGTGCCTGGTGAATTTCAAGCTCCTGGATCCAGTACTCACACTGCAGTCAGCCATGTGGGAGTCCAGCGCCTTAACCACTATGCCACCTGCTGGCCCCTAGACCTTGGGGTGAGGAATGAAGTATTTCCTATGTAGAAGGGTCATGAATCACTGGGTATCAGAGAGGAAGCTTTGAAGACAGCCTTCAGAATTAGCCTCAACAAGCTCTGTCCCTTCCTATGCATACCTTGGTTCTCCCGCAATCAATAGAGTTGAGTTGCACACACAAGAAGATAATGTGGAAATGAGCACAAGTGATTTCTAATGCTAGGTCATAAAAGAGCCTGCACCTTTGGCTCTCTTGGATCATTTGCTTTGGAGAAATCAATTGCCTGTTCTGAGGAGGTTCTGGCAGTCTATGAAGTTTGTGTAGCCTGAGACCTCCTGTAACAACGTGTGAGAAATCCATCTGGGAAATATCTCCCGACCTCGGTCAAGTCTTCAGATGACAACAGTCCTGGCCAACATGTTGATCATAATCACATGACAGATTGCTAGCCAGAAAATTACCAGCAAAGCCACTCTAAATTTCAGATTCAGAGAAAATTGCATGGGACAATAAATGTTTACTGCTTTTGGCACTGTTTTGGGGAAAATTGTTATGCAGAAATAGAGAGCTAACACAAATACCCTTTATACTTCTTTATGTATTTATCTGTTTACCTTGTTCTTGAGTAGAAGAATGAAATAGGCACATAATGAGCATGTTTTATCTATGTTGGATGGACATATGTTTTTAAAGTGATTGCTCAAAGCAAGTGAGCTTCAAAATTTTTATAATCTCAAGAGCCTAAATGTCCAGTTATGTTTATTATTTCTTCTAAACTCTTTAACACTCAGTGGTTTATTATGCAATTGTAGTAGCTGTTAAGTTTATATGACTAAATGGAACAGGATAGACATAACATTTTGTGAATAGACTAAATTTCTTTAATACATGCTGCAAACACTAGTTTAGACTAGACTATCACACCCAGAGACAATTAAAAAAATCAGGTATGTTTCCAAAGAAAATATCCAGAGACAAGATTGTTTCAGGTTAACTTCTTGATGTCATTTTCTAATTAAAATATAGAAAAATGGTCATTGTCTTCTGTGAATAACTATTATGATATGAAGAGTATTTTGAACTGTTAATAAAATACTAACTGAGGTTGAGAAGAATTTAGATTACATGCTCCAATCTGAATAAAGTTAATTTTGATAATTACAATTGCAACAAAGATGTTTGATATAATTATCTTGGTTTTAAAATTTAATACATACGAAGTAGAAACTAGAACAAACACAAAAGGAACTTTAATATTACTGATGTACCTTACAACAGTGAAAGATAATAATACCTTGCAAATATTGATCCTTTTAAATGTTGATTCATTCATTAAATGGTGATTTGGTTAAAGCTATTAAATTTGGTATAACTTTTTGTCAATGATAGACTCACAGTGTGTGTCTTTTTTTTTTGCTTTATATTGAACATTTTCAAAATATGAGTAATCTAATTTTAAATAGGTTAGATAAGTAGCTTCTGAACTTTTCATTTTTGGTAGTTGGGTTTTTCAAAAACTATATTTGGTAGTTTTTTTTTTTTCAAATGGCAATTATTAGCTAATTCTTCACCTTTATTTTACCGAGCCACATATAGCTTTTTTTTTAAAAAAAATATTTATTTTTGTTTTGTTATTTTCAAGATGGAGCATTTGTGCACACATGTGAGAGAGAAATAGGGGGAGAGAAGGAAGAACACCCTTCAGGAGTCCCTTTCTTCCATATTCCAGGCTATAGATCCTGGGCACTCACCTTAGTAAGTGAGATTTCATAGAAATAAGTTGTAATGTGGAAGGGGTCAAAATTTTCAGGCAGAGTTTCAGAATCACATGTCACCTGTGCCATTTACTTCTGGGTAATTAGGTACAAATCTCTCAACCATTTTGAATCTTAGTTTCCTCATTTTAAAATGGGGCTATTTCTCTTCAGGATGTTGGGAGGATTAAACGAGAAAACTTAGGTGAAAAAGCTTGAGAACTCTCAAGGCCTTCGTAAACGGTATGTATTTTTATTTGTTGTATTTTACTCCCAGTGGAGGCTTCTCTTGCTCTGAGCCCCTTGCATGCCCCTTCCGAATCCCCGAGACTGCCAGGAACTCACCGAGGATGCAGAGAGCTCGGCCTCTGGTCTCATGAGCAGCACACTTTGGTCCACAGCGCGGAGGGCACAGAGAGATTTAGGAGAAGCTGCAACTCTCAGGTGGACATGTGAGGCTGGGCCACTTTGTGCCGGGCTGAAGTTCAAATCCACCTGTAGGAAATGAGGGAAAAGCCACCCCTCATTTTCTCCAGTTCCGTGAGCGTGCAGTCACCTGTTCTTCCTGTGTCATCCTTCATGTGCACCTTTACATGACTATGCTGGTAGCGGCCTTCAGGAGCCAGTTCTCACATTTTTCCTTCCTTCTCTGTTTATTGAAAAGGTTTATCCAATAGTTCAGTCTTGTCCTTAGGAGACAACTGAGAGGTCATAATTATAGGTAGCTTGTTTGGTGTTTGGAGGCCTAGCTTTGCCTTTGATGCATGATAAGCTGAGTCTAAGTATTTATGCTTGTCCCTCAAGTTTCTGGAACTTTCGAGTCTTGATATCTTACATTCTCTCACAACCGAATCGGCAGAGGAGAACACCATGGACAAAACTGAATTGTGTCTTATGTGGTAGTAACTTTGTGTAATTGAACACACGCTATACTGGCTATCTGGAGATTTCACTGTCTTAGACTGGTTGGGCACTGTGGGTGACTCGTTTTAGTTCTGGACTCAGTTTTTATTGGGGTAAAATACGTAGTAACTATGGTATAATTTCTTTGTGTTCTTATAGTGCTAAGTGTAAGCACTTACCTTGTTGGCTAGACAGTTTTCAATCTCATATTTCTCAGAATCTCCTATCATTTCTCCATCTGGTAACATGGTGAAGAGGAACACTCGGGCAATGGGAGCAACATCTGCTTCCACAGGGAAGGACAAGGAGAAGCTGCCTTTCACTGGAGCAAGAGAGTGGGATGAAATGGTCACGGCCAGGACACTGAGGATGGGTCTAATCCAGCCTAGAACTACGTCTGTGGATTCAGTGGCGTAGTCTCTTCAAATGTCGTTCTAGTCATGTGCTGAAATTAATAGGCGGATGTGTCCCGTAGTGGCCTCAATTATAGAATAAGTTAATGAAGTTCCCTTTGTTCATGTGTTTCTTTAATATGATTTTTCATCTAACAGATGCCTAAATTGACCAGAGTATCGATAATTCCATTTTTCTGAACAGATGATGGGGTCTTTAAAAATGCATGTCATGAGAAAACTATGCATGGATGTAAAATTAAAGTACCAACATAAACTGGTACTTTAAATCCATTTTGCCACAAGTTTTTTGAAATCCTCATGTGTACATGCCGAATGCCAACCATTTGATTTAGACTTCAGACCAGAAGTGACTCACAACTTAAATATAGTTATAATTTGCAAGATCTAATCACAGAGTTTGTTTTTTCAAATATATGACTTAAAAAATATTACTCATGATAAAACAGGTGCATGTACTAGAGAAAAAGAGAAAGAGAAAGAGAGAGAGAGAGAGAGAGAGAAATAAGAGCCCTCCACAGGGTTCAGTCATGCTGCAATCCCATTTTTCACTCTTCCAGGCCCCCTCAGGATCCTGGGTGAACATGCACGTGTCCAGTGTGTTTTCAGGCCAACCAGATTGGGAACTGGAACCCTGACTGTTCTGTGGCTTCCAGCACTGCAGCCCTGTATGCTACCAACTGAGCCATAGAGGCTATTTTTATGATAGGATTAAGAGGTTGAAACAACCATGGGGGAAGCATGTGTGAGTCCAGCGACATAACTGTTAAGTCGCTGGACTCACACATGGCCAACTGCAGTTCAAGTTCTGGACCCAATGTCTTGAAACTCACTCCAGGTGCATGAACATGAGTGCCCAAAATTCTCAAAGGAGGGTGGAGGAAAAGAGACAGTTGCATGGCCATCCTCCCCCAAGGGGTGATTTCTTGCCTTCTGTCTCTCTCTCTCCGTCTCTCCAGCAACACATAAGCCCTATTGCAAAAATCTCTCAAAAACAAAACAAAACAAAACAAAAAACCAAAATCTATGGGATTAAGAGTCAAGATCTTTAGGAACTGATTATAATTGGGGTAATAAGAGTGGGACCTCAATGACTGAATTCTGGTGGGTTTATAAGGAGAAAGGATGAGACAGAGAGACACAGACACCAAGGACTCGCCATATGACGCTCTGCAGTGTCTCAGGACTCTGCAAGCATCTCCATCAACACAAAGGCCCTCGCCAGACATGGCGCCTCACTCATGGACCTCCTGAAACCAGAGATGAATAAAGTTTACTCTTTATAAATTACCCAGTCTGTGGTATTCAGAAGAGCAATGAAACAATGCTTTAAAACATAAGCTAAAATAGGAAATAAGTAGATTGAAATGTAATAAAAAGACAAAATATGGCAGATATTTTTTTCTTTTGGAAAGAATAGTTAAAGGAAATTAAGCTGTTCAATAATAAAATTTGTGAAGGCCTTGTTATTTAAAATCCGAATCCTGAATTTTGAACAGACTTAGTAATTGTTCTGAAATTAGTAATTTATGCTGTGCAGAATAGTGGAAGAAGAGAATAATATGAGGAAACTTAACTTTAGCAATAAAAAAGTTGAATTTAGGCAAATTGTGAACAAAGTTTGTTCTTCTATTATAGAAGGTTCAGAATTTTCGGCAATTTTTAAATAGAGAGCAAATTGGTAATAACATAGTTATATCGGGTCGTTAGAAAAGTCATGATGCAGTTTTACATAGCGAAACAGAAAACTGTCACAACTTTTCTGAAGACCCAATAATATGTGGTTAAAATAGTTTCATGATAGGTATTATAATTTAAATAACAGTATAGAGAAATTCTTTCCATGGTGGCTCAATTATCTTCAATAAGTTTTCATGTTAACTTCATGAAGTAAATAAATAACTGTCCCTTATATTGCTACATAGAAATTTCTTGATAGAATTTTTCATAAAGTTCAAATTAAAATATTAGAAAAGATAAAAAAGCAAGTAAACAAATAACATTTTTTAAAGAATGATTTATTTATTTATTTATTTATTCATTCATTTATATTAATCTGACCAGAGAGAAATACAGAAAGAAAGTGAGAAAGTAACCCACCAGGTCCAGGACTGGAACCATGGTTGGCCATGTGGGAGTGTCCAGCACCTTAACCACCACACCACCTGCTGGCCTCAACAAATGACTTTTTAAGTTACTCAACTATTGGGACCAGCAATGGCATGGGGTTCTACATGGCTAATTCCATGATTCAAGTCCTGGATCTGGTGTTTTGAAAATCATGCTGGGCATATGCATGCATGCTCAAAATATCAAGAGGAAAATGGAGAAGGGATTGAGATATGGTCATTTGCCCTTGGGGGTGATTTCTCACTTAACCCCTCTGTCTATTCTATGTCTCTCTCTGCCTCTCTTGGGCAAGTACATGCACCCTTTGGCAAAACCCTAAAAAAAATGATACTCAGCTGTTTCTTTGACTGTGTTAAATGTGGCATTATTAAAAAATTAGAGAAGAAGATGTATTGAAGGGGTAAAATGTACCCAGTAGGGCCATTTCCATATCTAATTATCCTTATGGTAATGTTGGGAAAATTGATATTCAAAACTGACAATAATCTTTAATGTTTAATTCAAACAGCTATTAATTGTTTAGAGTGCTCATTAGTAACTTGCTTTAAACTGAGAAAATACTTCTTTCACTACTGTTTCAATGTTCCTTATTGAAAAATAAAAATACAATCGATATTCTATAACTTGATAAAGAAAGGAAGCATAAAATAAAAGTAAATATCAAAGACAAGGAACAAATCCTAACATCAATAATTAAGTTTAGCTCTGGGGTGAGGCGGAGGTTAGTGAAATGTTTGCCTGCATTTCAGTTAATTATAAGAGTGCTCCTGGGCGGCTCTCTTTTTAGGGGCCTAATCTGTGATGTGTTGAATTAATAGTAGCAAAAAATGCTCATCCCCTTTTCTCCAATTTATGCATAAATAAACCCAATTTCATGTATGAAATATTCAATGTCTGGAACAGAAAGAAATACCACCATTCTCCTTCCCCATTTCTCATAATGGTTAGCTGTGTCTTTTCTGTAATGTTAAGATGATCAAGGTGCATTTATTGTCAGAAAAACAAGCTTAGATTCTTTTAAAAAGAATTATTTACTTATTTATTTTTAAAATTTGACTGGAGAGGGACAGAGTGAGAAAGGGAAAGTGAGAAAGCAAGCCACCAGGTCTGGGACTTGAACTGTGGTCAGCCATGTGGGAGTCCAACACCTCAATCACCATGCCACCTGCTGGCCCCCAAGCTTAGATTTTTAATAGATTTTAATTTTAATGTCAGAAGAGACATTGTGAAACAATTGTGTGTTTTGGTTGAGGGCCTGATAGATTGACAGTAAATAATCAAATTTATCTGTTGATGAATTGATGAATAAAAAATGCCCAAAAGTCCTTAAGAAGCTCTTACTTTTCCTTAGTGTCCTCCCTCCAACTGTGAGAGAATAATGGGACTGACTTTCCCATTTGTGAACAGTCGCCGGAGGGTGAAGATGAATGTGTTAGGACTAAAATGGGGAGATGGATTTGAGGGTACTCACTGTCTCCTGACTCTACAGGCAGCACTTGGGTTCCTGATCTGATGATGCCTCCCTTGGCCATGATCTGAAATGCAAAATCAACAGAAAAGGAATGCGTGTTGAGCCCCACACAGTTCTCAACATCCTATCCCACACGTGACACACTTGTGGAGGTTGTCTCTGCTGATGAGAATCTATCTCGTAGGTCAAAGAATCCAGGGAACATGAGTGAGAAAGCAAGATGCTGAAGCATATTTTGACACTCCTGGTCTCATCGTCTCACCGCTTTCGTCTGCTGAGAGCTCCAAAAACACTCCGTGTCTTTATTCTTACCAAGTAATAGACAATGAGCTCTCTTAGCTCCTTTAAGGCCTCTCCATTCAGTATATAGTGTGCCTTGATAGTCTGTGTCTGGCCGCAGGGCAGGGTACCAGCCACAGGTTCCAGGTAAATGTAGCTCCCACTGAAGGAGAACACGTGATGTGCAGTGTGCTGAGCGTCCTGGTGTTCTTCTTGTACCCACACGTAGTTATAGCACAACCTGGGCAGCTCAAGGTAGGCCTAATAAAACAGCGAAACAAAGAAATAAAATTGTCTCGAAATCCTTCATTTTGGATCCTCACCGAAATGAATAGTGAAAATGAAGGCTTTTCTGATCCGAAATGCCCTGTAATTCTTCCTCTTCCCTGTTCACCACCAAATAAACAAATTGTGAGTTCTCCCTCCATTGCAGATATTAAAAGGAAATTATCCACAAATTTATCTCCTTTGCTCTGATTCCCTTATCATTACTTTGACTTTTTTCCCTGCCCCTCAGAGCTATATGAAAATGTCCCAACTTACTATAATAAATGATCCAAACAAATAAAAAAGGGAGGTTTCAGATAATAGAAGTGTAAATTGGTCTAATTAAAATTCTATTACACACGTAAGAAGGCATGTCAAAAAGTTCATGAAAAAAGTGAAATTAATATACTAGTTTATTCTGGTGCCAAAATATTTCTGAAACTCGTATGTGGTTTTCTTATGATCCACATTTGCCCTGATCTTTATGAAGACTACATATGTGCATTATATAGAGTACCTATTGAGTTTCAAATTTTTTATAAATAGTAATAATCATTATCAGTAAATCAGAATTTATGCTTCTTACTATTACTTTGACTTTCAGGCTTTTTTTTTCTTTTTTTTTTTCCTGCTAGAGGGCAAGTGTGCTAGCTAGAGAGAGTGAGAGATGAGGGAGAGAGAAAGCACTCCTCAGGGAAAATGGTTATGCCACAATCCTTTCTCCATCTTTCAATCTTGACAAGATTTTGGGCACACTCACACATAAAGCCACAGGCACTCAAACCACCAGGTTGGCATGTGGGATCCAGCTGCCCTAACCACCAGATCACAGACTGGCCCAACTTCCAGTTTTTAGAACCTGTGTGGCTTCTGAACTTTAACCTTTGTAACTATCGAGTAGCTCATTCCACCTATTTCCTTAGCTCTTTTCTAAATTGATTAGGCCTACTTCATAGACTCCTCTATTTGTTATCATAATAATGTTTGTATTATTTTAAAAAGCATTGCACTTAAACCTAACACACTAACAATTTATAAGTCTGTTTATTCTTTTGGACACTGTTCATCTTTTTGCCCCTCGGGAAAAGCAGGTATCTATTACACAAAAATCAGTAAACATCTTTATATGGTCTAAAAAGGAATTAACCTATGAGCATTAGGAATGAAAATAATTTAAGTGCTATTTATTGACGCTGAGATCAGTAAGTTGTAATGTTTTACTACTTGTTTATTTGAGACTACAAACATGGAAACTTTTTTAACCACAAAACACTTTTGATCATCATTATTTGGTAATATATATTAAGTGTGTGTGTGTGTATCCTGTGATTGCTTTATGAAATACCGCAATAGATGTACAAAATTACATAAAACATAATACACCAATTATAGAAACAGCTGATAACTGTTCTAGACCCAAATAAAATATTTCCTGGAATAGTACACAGAATTTTACACGTAATGCTAATGGAATTATCAGGCACTTCTGTGGTACATTTTCTAACGCTTTCATTTCTTGCGTGTGAAATTCTATTGTCCTCAAATCTATAACCTCAAAGTTGGACAACAGCTTCTTATTTTTCTCTTAAGTTTAATCCGTGTTTCTTCCCTTTTGAGTATATCACTTTTACTTATGTTTCTCTTTGTAGTCAGTTTTTTTTTTTTTCCCCCTGTACTTACCCTGATAAAAAGTTTGTTTGTCAGGACATTGGTAGTGTTGATTGAAAACTGTATGAGACCCTGCTGGTTGGTAGTTGCATTGAAAATATAATTGGCTTCATTTGCAGCAATGAAGATGCGTTTTTTGGGGATAGGCACACCTTTCCCATCCACCAGGAGCACCTACAGAAAAAAAGCCCTTGGTAATTTCTGTGGATAACACCCAGACAGAAATGGGACTCAGGTGAATGAATGCCTTTGGTGCCGTAACTGAATAAACAAAAGTAAACAAAAACAGCTTTTTATATTTACTACAAAACTTTCATTATGGTTCTCATGTCTTTCATAGCTTGTCTATTCTTGAACATTTGCAGCCTTTCCATTAAGACCAGGGAGATTTTTAATAACTACAATGTGCCACTTAACATACCCTGAGTCTAACAGAAGTGAACTTGAGATATGTGCTTTTCCTTCTTCACCTAGATGGAGCCTGGAAGACTTGGCTGTGTACGGAGCTCAACTCTTACCAGCTAATCAAGTTACTTCACTTCTCGGTACCTCAGTTTCCACTTTCGTCAAATTAGGGATCATAGCATTGCCTCCTTCATAGTATTAAAATAGTAGCACTGAAGATGAAATACATTAACCCACTTAAAATGTATTAGAGGATATCTGGCACACAGTTACTATAATTTACTATTGATAATTTATTATATTATTGTTATTATTATTTTGGTCATATTAATTAATTGATACTAACCAGTTATGGACTACAGGATTGTACCCTGGGCTTGGGGATATTAAGCCTGCTTACCCGTGAAACACAAAACACTCACCTGTCCAAAAAAGGGAAGTCCTCGTCTAAAATGTGAATCCACGTTCACGAACGTGAGTTTGGTTAAAATTTTTGTAACTTCAATGGTTCCATTTCCATAAACTGTCAGGTCTGAAAAAATATATAGAAAAGGGTAAGTACTCTTGGAATTTACTTCAGCCTAATTGCTTTTTTGAAAACCTCCTTTATGACCCTTATGTCGTTATGAGAAATAAATCAAAATTTATTGTTTTATCTCCTATAGTCACGTGATACTCAAACCTGTTCCTTCTTCTCTGATCTTGGCCCTCACGCTAATTTCCATTTCATAGCCTGCATGTTTAATCTGGAGCAAGTTCGTCTTCACTTGTTGGGTGACGCAACCATCGCTGTTGAGCTGAGAACATAGAAAACAGTGAATGTCATGACGATTAAGATCATTAATTACTGAATCTACACTACTCACTTTCTGATACCAAGGCATTTTCTTTGGGTTAAATATGTTTCTTGACTTTCAAGAATTTAATATTCATATATAGTTAGGAAGAGGGGGTATCTCACAGTTAGTATGCGAGAATGCTGCAGACTGACCTCTTGGCTGAATTTCTCACAGAAAATTTGCTTGTAGCAATTGGTAGCGTGAAGTAGTTTTCTGCACATGTTCACGGTTGCATGTCCGGGGACTGGCTTCCCATAGGTATATCTGTCAGATGAGAAGTAAGTCAGAAACTGAGCAAGTCTTTCTGCATTCTCAACAACAAACTCTTGACAGAATGGTTCTGCTCTCCAGTTCCCTATACATCTTTATCATTACACTAATTGGAAATGACTGGAAATTGCCTCTCTCAAAGAAATATGACCCATTAAACCTTTGAAACTTTACTGCTCTGCACCACTACAGTCACTTTGGGGTTTAAAAAATTTTCTTTCATTTAGTCTATTTATTTTTTATCATTCTTTTTATTTTGTTACTATATAACCAAGACTTATTCTGTATACTAAATGAACAAATCTAGATAATAAATAGAAAATAGAAAATAGGGCTGGCTCCGTAGACATATGACTGACCACAGTTTGAGTCCTGGCTGGTTGCTTGGGCATGTGTATATGTGCTCAAAGTCCTGACGGGATGGAGAACCGGATGAAAAATGATTGTAGCATGACCACGCCCCACTAAGGGAAGCTTTTAATCTCTGTCTCCAAAAAGTGCACATACCCTCTGGTAATAAAAAATTTTAAAATAAAATAAATAAAAATTGGTAAAAAAAAAAGACTAGAACTAAATAAATAATAAATAAGCAAACCCAACACACACAATCATAACATGCACCCAAACACATACACGTTCATGTACACTATACTCACAAACAGAAAGAGATATCTCTAAGAATACCATGGAGTATATTTAAAAAAGTAATTTCGATAGTTGTGAATGTATGGGTACTCTATGCTTGTGTTAGTTCTTTCATGCTCTTATTTCATAAAAATGAAAATAATTGCTAATAATTTTGCTTTGGATCTTAGTGTTCTTTCTTATTTGCAAATGCCTCTGATGTTATTTCAAAAAAAAAAAAAGGAATAAGAATGATTTATTCTGAAATGTCTGTCCAAGATAGAGATCCACCCTAGGATGCCATTGAGTAAGACAAATGATTGCTCGGGCATTGTTCTGAGGCAGAACTGAAGCAGAAGCCCAGACATCTTGGTGTTCCAGTATATTTAGGCTGACATATTTCTTTACCCTGCAGGTTCCCTCTGCTATTGCTTGTTTGCCAAAATTGAGTCCATTTTCAATGTTAAAGAGAACTGAATGAGTTATCTATAATCACAAAAGGTAAAAATGGGGGACCAAATGGGGGACCAGCAGATGTCCTAATGGTTGTATCACTGGACTCCCATGTTCAACCACAGTTCAAGTCCTGAAGCTGGAGGCTTAAACTCATGCTTGGGTGAGTGTGCATGCGTGCCCAAAATCCCAAGAGAAGAATGGAGGAGAAGGGATTGTGGCGTGGCCGTCCCCCTGGGGGGTGATTTCTCTCTTTCTGTCTTTCTGGTGGGTGCACATGCCCTATAGTAAAAATCTCTCTTTAAAAAATAAGGTAAAAAATGAAAAAGAACCTCATAGCTTAGGCCTAGTCACTAAACTTACTGCTGAGGAAGAGGAGGTTTGGAGGAACAGCAGACGCCTAGTTAATCTAGAGAATTACTAGTAGGAGGTATATACTCATGACGCTGAGCCAAATACTCTTTATAAGCATAGTGTAAGTGGCTGAATTATTTATGTGTAAGTCATAGCTATTAAATCCCAATTATGGGCTTTTCGTGATAATTTTTCTTCCAATTTTTAGGTTTCCCTGCCCCATTTTTAGTCAATCTTTTCAGATCATCTTTCTTCCTCAATACAGGATTAGTATTTATGGCATACATGTGAAGAAAAGAGAAAATGAAATTGCCTGGATTAGAAATTCTGGGAGAGGGGCCATCAGATGGTGTAGCAGTTATGCCCCTGGATTCCCACATGGGTAGCCACGGTTCGAGCTCTAGACACAGTGGCTTGAAAATCACACGGGTACTTGTGTGTGTGTGTGCCCAAGATCCTGGGAAGACGATGGAGAAGAAGGGATTGCAGTGTGGCCATCCACCCTAGGGGGAGGGGGTGATTTCTCACTTTCCCTCTCATTCTTCTCTCTCTCTCTCTCTGGTGAGCACATGCACTCAAAGGCAAAAACCTCTTAAAAAAAGGAAATTCTGGGAGAGATCATCTTTTATATTAGTAAACAGATTTTACTGTCCTTACACCAAGAGTATCTATGTAAAACAGTCAAAGTTCCCTCTTACGTTGCCCAGAGGGGGCATAAACATAACTAAAACAGTGTTCCAGCAGGAGGCAAGCAGGTAGGTCCAGAAAGGAGACATTTAAAAGCTTATTCCCTTCAATAAGTTAATGTAGCAAAACAGATGGTAATAGATTTCAAAAACTTTAAGGTATTTATTGATTCCTATGGCTTGCTTTAAAATATTAGAGCAAGAGAAAAAAACCATAAGAGGAATAAGTGGAGCAAAATCCTGGTAAATTTCATTATTTTTGTAATAGATGATGTGCACAAGAAGTTATATTTTATTATTCTATTCCCTTTTGTACTTGGTTGAAATGTCCATTGTAGAGAGTTGGGGGAAAAATGGTAGTTAGGGGTCATAACGATAAAGAACAATGTGTAAACATGCAGCTTTATGAGTCATTTTTAGGACTATAAGAATACCTGACAGTAAATTCAGAATAGTATTGGAAAATAACTTCTAAGTTCAAAAACGTGATATGGAGCCCAGCAGGCAGTGTGGTGGTTGGGACACTGAACTCCCATACAGGTGACCATGGTTTGGATCCTGGACCTGGCAGCTTGCTTTCTCACTTTCTCTTTCTCTCACTCGTTCTCTCTCATAACTGTAGCAAGTTAAAAAAAATAAATAAAATAAGATAAATAATTCTTTAAAAAAGCGTGATCTAGTATCATGATAAGTGAGAAAAATCTCTATATGTTTTAGACATATTACTACGTTTATGGAAAAATGTGATCTCTGAAATTTATCCTAAAAAATGTTAAAGCAAAAAATAAGATGGAGCACATATGGAAATATGTTCATTTTTAAATCATGATTAAGGGTGTCTCTATTCTCTTGTATATTTGAAAATTTTAATAATCAGTCAAAAACAAGTCAATAGGATGATATTAAAAAGTTGCTGAGAGAAAATAAAAGTATAATTCTATACCTAGCTAAATAATCACTCATAATTAAGACAAAATAAAACACTTTAGACAAAACCAATTTAACTCACATTCCACATACTGTTATGTTCACGTTTTCATCCATGATACTGATTATCTTTGGCACCTGAACTTTGACCTCAAACTTGGGAAGCACTGTTAATAGAGATAATTAAAAAAAGGGGGGTTGGTCAACATTTACTGGAAACACAAATATTTTCAACACATCTATAATTTTTCCCAAATCAATACTCTTAAATATATTTTTCAATGAACCAGTCAGTTTTATGATGATAAGATTTAACAGTTCATGCGGAATCTAATGGACTTTGTGACCCCAGCAGAACTCAAGGATACTAAGAAATGATGGACTCTCGCTGAAATAAGCATGTTCATACTTGGCAAAGCATAACTTGCCACTGGAAGTCACCAAGCTCGTATGAGCTTCTGTGTCCACACAATCGCAGTGACCTTAGAAGCAGACACAGCTGACTGTACTCTAACTTCAACATTCCTATGGGAAATTAGAAACATCTATTAGTGGATAACACTCTATGAACCCAAAAGTCATGTCCTTTCCATATTCCATTACCAAATTCTTCCACTGTGAAGGAGTGCTCTGTGTTTCCACCTGATTCTGTATTTACCACCACCTTGTAGGAGCCTTGGATGGGCTCTGATGAGAGGGGGAAGGACAATTCCTTGAGGCCACCCTCTAACTTCATACTCTGCCACTGGGCAATTCGATTTCTTCTGGGGTTCTAAAGGTAAACAAGAAGTGTGAGGAGCTATCATTGAGTTGTGATAGTCCTTGAACATCACAGATGATTTGAGGGGTGGTCATTGGCTTTTCCTTCAGGAAAGACAAATGCAGAAAGCAGATAAAATGTAATAAACCTGACATTTAGGAGTAGGGAGAATTAGTATGTGAAAGTATTTTTTTTTTTGGAGAGGTTTTTGCTATAGGGCACGTATGCTCACCAGACAGACAGGGAGAGACAGAGAGACAGAAAGCGAGAAATCCCCCCCCAGGGGGGATGGTCACGCCGCACTCCCTTCTCCTCCATTCTCCTCTTGAGATCTTGGGCATGCACGCACATGCGCCCAGCGTGAGTTTTTTTTTTTTTTTTTTTTTAGAGATTTTCACTGTAGGGTGCGTGCGCTCGCCAGACAGACAGAGAGAGACAGAGAGACAGAAAGCGAGAAATCCCCCCCCAGGGGGGATGGTCACGCCGCACTCCCTTCTCCTCCATTCTCCTCTCGGGATCTTGGGCACGCACGCACACGCGCCCGGCGTGAGTTTTAAGCCACCGGGTCCGGGACACGAACCACGGTCCACTACATGGGAGGCCAGCGACATAGCCATTACGCCAACTGCTGGTCCCAATATGTGAAAGTTTTTATAATAGTTCATCTGTTTGGAAGATTATCCAAACTTCTTTCTTCCTAAATTTACTCATTTTTTTTTCCTTACAAGATTCTTTGTTTGATGCTTACCTCAAGGTATATCAGTGGAATCTGGATGAAAAAAAGAAATAAGAGATATGATTAGCATTTGACCAAAGGCAATAATTTCAGACTTTGTGTGATCTAACAACTTACAAGGAAGAATAATAGCTGTAGAAAAATTCAACCTACAATATCTAAAACTAGAACTAATCTGCTCAAGGAAATTAGTAAATTATTCTAGGAAGAGAACAAATGATGTTTCAACAACAATTACATGTTGACAATTTTCAGAAAAATATTTGTGAATGACATTTAAATATTGGGTCCTCAGGAAGTCATGATGCATTTTTTGCATAGAAAAATACATCATGGCTTTCCAGATTACCTAATATGTTTGCTAATATGTTAGTAACGTATTAGTAAATGCACTAGTAGATATGTTTACATGTATTTATATTAGCAAACTTCATTCACAAATAATATACTTCAAATACTTAAATCCTCTTAGTAAAGAATGTGACTGGGAGCTGGCCAGTGGCATGGTGTTTAAGGGTGCTGGACTCCCACATTGCTGACCATGGTTTGAGGCCTGGACCTAATGGCTTGTTTTCCCATTATCCCTCTCTCTCTTCCTCTCTCTCTCTCACTTTGTCCCTCTCTGGTCAAATATAAATTAGAAAGTGTATATTAATAGCATTATACATTATTATGATTAGGACTGACAGGAAGGAACCTCAGAATTATTTGGCTAAAAGTAAACCAAGGGGGAGATTAGGACCACTGAAGACCTTCTGCCCAGACTTCACCGGCCAGCTTCTCAGACAAAACAAGGGAACTCATGGAAATACCAGATCAAGAATTTTAAATATTTATAGTGACAAAGCTAACAGAGATGCAAGAGAAGAGAGACAACAAACTCCAAAATATGCAGGAGAAAAGTGACAAGAAGTTCCAGGAGGTGAGGAAGTTCTTGCATTATCTGAAAGAGGAAATTGTTAGAGATGAAGGTTGTAATGCAAGAAATCAAAACCTCCCTTGAAAGTATTAAAAGCAGATTAGATCATGCAGAAGATCAAATCTCAGATGTAGAAGACAGAACCTCTGAACTAGAAAAATTCACCAAAAAGACTGAGAACATTTCCCCCCCCCCCAATGAGAATGGCTATGTCACTGGACTCCCATGTAGTTGATCATGGTTTGAGTCCCTGACCTGGTGGCTTAAACTCACGCCAGGTGCGTGTGTGTGTGCATGCCCAAGATCCCAAGACGAGAATGGAGAAGGGATTGTGGTATGGCCATCCCCCTGGGGGGTGATTTTTTTGCTTTCTGTCTTAAGAAAAAAAGGGCATGGAAAGTAACTGTAGATACCAGAGGGTGGGAGGAAGGAGGGAAATCACAGATGGTGAGATACAGGGAATTAAGGGGGGGGGAGTGGGAGCAAAATATATAAGAAACAAGAAGTGGAAAAGTATTTGTTGACAACATGTATAATAATATCTTTGATTGAGTCAATAAACAGTGTATTCTGCATGGAAAAATCTCATTTTGTATACTGTACGATGTACAGAGAATGAATGTAAATAAATAAATAAATTTTAAAAAAGTAAACCAAGAGGAAGCCGGCAGGTGGCATCATGGTTAAGGGAACTGGACTACCACATGGCCGACTGCAGTTTGAGTCCCTGACCTGGTGGCTTGCTTTCTCACTTTTCCTCTCTTGCTCTGTCCCTTTCTGGTCAAATTGAAAAAGAGAGAAAGGGACCAGCAGTTAGCACAATGGCAATGTTGCTGGACTCTCATGTAGTCGACCATGGTTTGAGTCCCGGACTCGATGGCTTAAACTCATGCAGGGTACATGTGCATGAGTGCCCAAGATCCCGAGAGGAGAGTGGAGGAGAAGGGATTGCAGTGTGGCTATCTCCCCTGGGGGGTGATTTCTCGCTTTCTATCTCTCTCTCTCTGTCTGTCTGGCAAGTGCACACACCCTATAGCAAAAACCTCTCCAAAGAAAATAAAATAAATAAAATAAAAATAAAAAGAAAAGAAAAAGAAAGAGAAATAAAAAAGAAAGGAAGAAAGAAAAGGAAAGAAGAAAGAAAGACAGAAGAAAGAAAGAGAGAGAGAAAGAATGAAAGAAAGTTAAATAAAATAATTCTTAAAAAAAAAAAAAAGAAAAAGTAAACCAAGGGGGCCACCAGATGGTGTCATGGTTATGTCGTTGGACTCCCATATGGCTGACCCGGTGGCTTGGACTCCCATATGGCTGACCTGGTGGCTTAGAAATCACACTGGGCATTTGTGTACGTATGCTCAAGATCCCAGGAAGAGAATAGAGAAGGGATTGTGGCATGGCCATCCCTTTGGGGGGATGATTTCTTACTTTTCCTATCACTGTCGCTGACTCTGTCTCTCTTTGTTGAGTGCACGTGACCTAAGGCAAAAACCTCTAAAAAAAAAAAACAAAAAAACAAAGTAAGCCAAGAGAGCCAGCAGGTTGGTGCGGTGGTTAAGGCACTGGACTCCCACATGGCTGGCTAAGGTTCAAGTCTTGGACTTGCAGCTTGCTTTCTCACCTTCCCTCTTTCTCTCTTTGTCTTGAATGCACATGCCCTACAGCAAATTAAAAAATACATAAAAAACAAAACAAATTTAAAAATTCTTTAAGAAAAGTGAATCAAGAACATTTCTGATAATTTCAATATTGTTTATTGTATTATCTACTTTTTAAAAGTAGCCTCTTCCTTTACCTTAATGTTGAAGACTAGCTGGCAGAAGGGACACTCACTTAGTGTAACTACATAAATATTATGCATATTCTATGATGTATGTAATTTATTTTATGTATACCTATTTGGAAGAACTAAAATTCTTCAGTAATTTTATAATCATAAACTCTTGGAGAGCATGGGTATGAATAGCATCTAACTTGTCTTGTGCCTCTTTGTTGTTCTAAATACAACGTGCTCAGAACGGCAAATGTGGTTGACATTGCCAGACTGGTTAACTACCGTTTGAAGAGAAATGACCTCTTCATCTTTTGCCCCTCAATTTTGCCTGCACTAAGACTCTAGATCTGTGGTGAGGCTGGAGCAAGGAAGATCTTTCATCTTCTTGTTTTTCTTGGCCCTCCCTACTCTTTTGGGTGAGCATTTCCACCCTAATCCTTCCCAAACCTTAGATATGGATGCTTACCAGTTCATTTCGGGGATGAAAATTTTCATCCATGGAAACAACACGGAATTTTACTAAAACGAAACCAAAAATCTCTGATAAGATTGAGACATGATAAAGCAAATAATTTGGGTAATAAGATAGGGGGAAAATGGGTTGGGAAAATGGTAACTTTGGCTGGAAAATCTGCCGAGAGGGTGACCCTCACTTCTCAGCATTGCCCGACTAGTAGAATTTCTCTACATACCTGTCTGTCCTGGTTTATAGATGGGTTTGTCTGTCTGGATGAAGACCAGACTTTGTGTATTCTTTACTAGCACTGTGTTCCTCTTCCTGAAATCTTGTGTAGGCCCCTTTATCTGGACAGTGAGGAATGCCACCTCTGAAGAGAGCGAGATCCTTGGGAGCTAAAAAAAAAAAAAGAATTTTCTTTTTAAGTGAAGA